AAGGAGCCAAAACATCTGGAAGTTTTAGAAGAAAAGCAAAATAGTTATGGGAGGAAAGTCCAGATTAAAAAATGCAGATGTTTAATTGGGCTGTCAGTTATGTTACGAGGAAATAAGGGAAATAAGAAATAACCAGAAGCCACTGGTGGAAAATTAAAATAGTTTCATGAACCATTGCCAAGCTAAAAGCAATGAAATCGGTAACATAATATGGACAGGGGCTTTCCAAACTGAGATCTGAAAATGTTACCATGTGCAATTTTATAAATTAGCCATTTCTAAAAAATCTTTTTCATTAAAGCACAATAAAAGTTTTTCAGACTCTCCTCTCTCTCTTCGGTCATTAACATCGGGCAGTTATTCGGAGTTTGGCTTTCATCAATGACAAGCTCTCCCCCAACCCTCCTCACTCGGTTTCTAAGACCCTCTAATACTGCTGAGTGGCCAGAAATTACAGATGCAAGGAAAGCTGACAAATGCCTGCCAGACCCCTCCCCCAGTGCCTCGATAGTCAAAGCCCCTGCCAGAACATGCCTGAAAGCAGCGCACCGAGAGACAAAGACACAAAGATCCCATTTTCTCAGTGAAAATAGATTTCATGTGTAAAACACTAGTGAGAAAAAATTGAAAGCTGACACATATGTGCAATTTTAGAGAGGCAGGGCTGAATATTTCAAGAAGATTGAAATTGCATTTGATTGCATCAAAGCTTAACAAATGTTGTTTAACCTAAAAGTCTTTTCAGTCTGTAAAAAGACATTCAGTGGCAAGATATTTTATTTTTTTAAGCACATGGTTAAAAAGAAAAAAGAATCTTGAGCTCAGTGGAGAGATGTTGATTACATACTACTGTTGCATAAAAAATTAACACTGGCTCACATCACAGGGTCTACAAAATAAAGGGGGAAAGTTAAAAAAAAAACCCTATTGAATCAAAGGGTTCAGAAAGATAATATTAAATCCTTATGAGTATGTTTCCTATAAAAAGAATCCCCTCCCAGCAGCCCCAGGGTATCATTACTGGAGAGGCAGCGAGTGGTTTATTAGAGATTCAAACCTTGGCATCTGAGCCTTGCCAAGCATGCAAGTTTTAGCTTGTGAGCCCAGGGCCCTTGGCTTGCGTAGTCCCTTCTGGCATCTAACAGTGAGGGCCGTCTGGTTGGTCTCCACACGCCAGGCAGTGTGTGGGTGCAAAGGCTCAGACTGGGAGACAAAGGAAGATCATCATTTGCTATGGAAGGTCATGCTTCATGTGCTTCTTCCTACCTAAATTCATATATGCCAGCATAACATTTAGGGATGAAAGGAGAAATATGTGAAAAAAAAGAAGACATAACAAAATGAATCAGGGAATTAACCTATAACATATCTTCAAGTGATATTATAAATAAATATACAGAGAGAAAGAGGGCAAGAAAGAAAGAAGGAGAAAGACAGACAGAGGAAGAGAGAGAAGGGAGAGAGAAAGTTCGAAGTTTTGACTTAGAATGGTCTTTTCATGCACGGGAAAAAGCTTCCCCCCTCTACCTCCTTAGATTTTTAACTTTGGTGGGTGTTTGTATTTCTTTAACTTCATATACCATGCAAAGTCAATTCAGTTGCATATGAAAAGAAACTGTGAGGTCACTTTTATTTGTTTTTTTAAAAAATATTATTGAAGTGTAATTGACATACAATACCCTATTAGTTTCAGGTGTATGTCATAGTGGTTTGATGTTTTTATACATTATGAAATGATCCCCAGAATAAGTTTAGTTACCATCTGTCACCATAGAAAATTATTGCAATATTATTGACTATATTCCCTATGCTGTATATCACATCCCCATGACTTACTTATTTTGTTACTGTAAACTTATAACTCTTAATCCCCTTCACCTATTTTGCCAACCTAAACCATCCTCACTCTGGTAACCAACAAATTACCTCCTGTATCAATGAGTCTGTTTCTGTTTTACTTTGTTTTTTAGATTCCACGTGTAAGTGAAATCATACAGTATTTGTCTTTCTCTGTCTGACTTATTTCCTTTAGCATAATATCCTAAAGGTCCATCCATGTTGTCGCAAATGGCAAGATTTCATTCTTTTTTATGGCTGAGTCATATTCCTGTGTAGGTATATACCACAGCTTCTTTTATCTGTTCGTCTGTGGATGGGCACAGCTGCTTCCATATCTTGACTATTGTAAATAATGCTGTGATGAACAAAGGGGTACATCTCTTCAAATTGGTGCTTTTATTTTCTTCAGATACTTACCCAGGAATGGAATTGCTGGATCATATGTATTTCTATTTTCAATTTTTTGAGGAACCTCCATACTGTTGCTGTACCAATTGACATTCTAAACAACAGTGTATGAGGATTCCCTTTTCTCCACATCCTCACCAGCCCTTGGTATCTTTTGTCTTCTTCACGATAGGCATTCTGACAGGTGTGAGGTGATGTCTCCTTGTGGTTTTGACTTGCATTTCCCTGATGGTGAGTGATGGTGAGCATCTTTTCATGTGTCTGTTGGACATCTGTATGTCTTCTTTGGAAAAAATGCCTATTCAGGTCCTCTGCCTTTTTTTAAAATCAGATTGTAGAGTTTTTTTTTTTTTAATATTAAGTTGTGCACATTCTTTATAATTTTGGATATTAACCTCTTATCAGATGTATGATTTGCAAATATCTTCTCCCATTCAGTAGGTTGCCCTTTTCTTTTGTTGATGGCTTCCTTAGCTTTGCAAAAATGTTTTAGTTTGATGAAATTCCATTTGTTTATTTTCCCTTTTGTTGCCCTTGCCTGAGGAGACTGCCCCCCACCTCAAATATTTCTATGACCAAAGAGCTCACTATGTTTTCTTCTCTCTCAAATTGAGCCTGCTTACATTCCCGTTCCAATCCTTTCAACAGCATGCTGTTCTTAAGAGATAGGTTCAATATTTGCAGAATACTTGGAATGGGCTTAATATATGTTGAAAAGCATTAGACCATTAACAGGTTAAAATGTAATTAGTAGTAGCTGTCAGGGGTTAGAGACCGAGAAAGTGTACTGGGAATATTTTAATTAAAAAAAAATTACAATAAAGTTTTTAAAACTTGAGAACACATTCTGTACTCTGCCACTCCCTTTCAAGCTCCCGCAGTTCTTAAATTCCTTTAGTCAATAGGAATATCAGAGAGAGAAAGAAAAGAAACTAACAAAGTACTTCATAATCTTAGATGACTGAGAGGAAAAATGAGAATATTAGGTTAATCCTATGACCACTAAACTGTTTTACACAAACTCTTAATTTCCACAACAATATTCATGTCAGGAAACATTCCAGCTCTCCTTCCCAGTCTAATCAAAATACTATACAGCATTTTGAACAAGATGTTCATAACATTAATTAATCAAACTGCTATTTCCATTAGGTTATTAAAAATAACCTAAATGTTCAAAGCATTCATCTATTTACTATCAAAAGGGAGTGTTCCACATATTTGAGAGTTGGGAGCATAATTACTTACGAGTATTCAGCCACTATAAGTTTAGTGAGTCTCTGAGCCTCAGTTTCCCTTTGTATAATATGAGGAATTTTGTCAATCATAGGAAATTTGGGGAGGGGGGATTAATCCACAAAGGCAGTGTTGGCCCCAAAATGCTAACATACATGTGTGCACAGTGGGAAGAGAGTGTAAAACTTTTGTTGTGTTTTAAAACTTTAAAGTTTAATATGAAGAGCAATCCCATGTCATTAATGGAGAAAGGAAGTCTCCGGTGAATTCAGTAAAATAAATCAGACAAAGGCTATGCAATCAGCACACCACGGACCGGTTAACTGATATATTTGTACACATTTCAGAATGTTTCTGTAATTTTGAATCTGATACTCTGCGAGCTCAAATTTCTTAAAGTATATGTGACATATTTATATTAACTTTCTTCCCCCGTTAGTCATGTTTCTGCTAAGCGGATGTGCACAGAGTAGCTGAGTGAGCCAAAGTGAATCGGCATCAGGTCCCAAACCCCAAACAGAACATGAGCTACCTTTGGCCCCACCCCTCACCGCCAAGCCCACTACGTTGGCCTCGCAAGACTTCAGAACAACAGTGAGGAGGATGTGTGAAGTTTTTCAATACACTTCCTAGCAGTACCAGCCAACAGGGTCACTCAGGCCTCTTCCGTCGTACTTCCTCGGCGGCCCCTAGAGCATCACCTCAGGTGCCAATCAACAAAGAAGAAAATTACGAAAAGAAAGCATATTGTTATATGGAAGATACCGAGGAAAATATTGATACTCTTTTAACAGAAATGCATTCTCGAAGAGAGAATACATATGTCTAACCTAAGAAGATCAACAAACTTACACATTCGAAACTGTTTCTTACAGTAATTTTTAAGCAAATACCAGGATTCCCTAATTTAAGAGTAAAAAGGAAAATAACAATGTGCTCGTCTTCATTTAACCTAATTGAAAGGGAGAAAACGGCATTGCTTAGTCACATTCAATATTTTCTTCTTTGAAAATTCAACTGCTATCATAGACTAGAATAATGATACAGAGATAACATTGTATTGTTTAGATAAATTAGTCTCTATAAGGAAATTAGGTGATGAAAAACAAAGCAAATATATTTAATATGTCTGCTAATAAAATCTAGATTTATCTATCAAATGTACTAATGGTAGGTAATATTTTAAAACCTTTTTAAACATGGGAAATACATCCAAAGGAAAACGAATCCTTATAACTAATTAGCATAGTAAAGTAGCCAAAGCTATCTATTTTATCTCTTCAGGGGTTTCTGGTTGTTACTTGACAAGACATTTTATGGTGGGGAAACCCAGACAGTGTTTTCTAGGGCCAAATTAGTAGCCCTTGAAAAGGAAAAATTTAGGACATAAGAAGTTGGCAGATCTTCTACGTCTTGTTGGATTGGAAAACATCCCCATAAGAGGACAAAAATCAATTTTAGCTAATTTGCTTAGCATGGCCTGAGTTTCATTTAATATCACTTTTTGTTTTGTGCAGGGATCTTGGCAAAATTTGCAACGAATCCATAAAGGAAACTGAAAGCAGTTTGATCTTCATCTTCAATGACAGTCCCACAAAAGTTGAAGAACCACGTTATGTCTCCAAAGAAGATTACAGTGGTGCCCTAAAATTAGGACATGATTAAGGTATGACATTTCTTTTAATTCAGTTGCAATGCTTTTTCTTTCCATAATTTCTTCTTCTTTTTTCCCAGTCTCTCTCTCTCTTCCTTTTCTTCCTCTCATTAGCAGATTGTCTTTTATAATTGATGTTGTTTATTGTCCTTTCATCAAATATATGCCACATCACTTAAGCGAGCCATCCGACAGGGCACCTAAATACACATTAGAAGGTACTGGGAGCCATGAGTCGCTTTGACCGCCTATCAGGGAAGTTATAATAAGCATCTTGATGCCACTGAATGCAATGCGGTATTCAAATAATAGCCTTCATCTTTGCCCTCTTTAAATATAAAAGTAAACCTTGAAGCCTTTGAAGGACCCAACCAAACAACACACATGTGAAAATAGACCAGTGAGCCTTTGGGGAAAAAAAAAATCCTTATGTAAAATCTGTAAAGAATCTTAGCAGTTTTTCAAGAAAGACCGCCAGGTAAATGAGACACATGACCATCTCAATTATGAGGATCATTATTATGGGCCCTTTGTGCCATTTTTGCTCCCCGCAGGATTTTTCTTTTCTCATCAGGTTTTCAGGGCTATCTACTGTTCTCTGTGTGTAAAGCATATTTAAGTGGTCCCACAAGGCTGCACTAATTAAAAAAACAAAACACACACATACACCAAAAAAAAAAAAAAATCTCAACCAAAAAAACCCCCCAAAACACAACAACAACATCCAAAGAACTTTGTCAAGTGGTCAGACAGACTGGAACTAGAGGATTATAGGTGAGAGGGACAAAATGAAGGGTTGAAAGCTATAATTTCTATTTCTGTGGTGGCAACCGCATCAAGCTATTGGAGTCAGGCAGTTTAAAGATATGGCTACTTAAGCATAGAGTCTGGGAAGAAGACATTTCAAAATATAACAGTAAATCAGGCCTCGAGTGATAAAGATGCACTAAATGATGGGCATCCCTTGCTGGGTCCCTTTCCTGATGGTCCTGGCTCCCCTCTTCCCCACACCCATGTCTTCCACTTCCGTTTGATTCCATCCCTGTCTTTGACAAGGCCATCTATTACTTTCTTTCCTCCTATTTTCATATATATATATATATATATGTATATATATATATATATATTTCTTAAACCTTATATTTTAACCCTAGTTGCTTGGCCTCTGACTACCATCGCATGCTCTGTGCTCCTAGAAAACAGAGAACATATTTTAAAAAGGAGACGCTGCATCTCAAAAGGCTTCTTCCTTTGGCCAGAGAACAGTTCATTCTTGAACATGATCTGACTGTCGATTTTCAAAAAAAACCCTCCCTAAAAATGGCTTTAAAGAACGTGTGTGCACATATGGGTGTCAGGCAGTCAAATTTGTAGATGGAGCAATTTGAAGAATGAATTTTTATAGTGACAGGATCGCTTATAAAATGATGAGAAATATAGATGTCTGTCTAGCCTATGTAATATTCACTATGATCTTGGGAATTTTGGTTCATAATTTGGCCTTATCCTTATTTTTTTATTGGAATTAACAGAGTCAGAGAGTTGGTAGAAAGCATAGAAATTTTGTAATACAGCTCTCATATTGAAATGAAGAAAAGGAAGCCCAGAAAATAATCTGTTCTAAGTCATTCTGCTTGTCTATAAATGCCATTGGTTTAATTTTAGTTTTGCATATATTTAGACAAAGAAAATATTTTCCCAGAAACTGGTTACAAATGTTTGAGGAGAGATATAATCATTAAAATATGTATGTAGTAAAATGTAACTATCATTCAATAATTGATAATCTATATTGAAATTGCCTGGGGATTTTATTCATATAGGAAAACTTACTTTCATTGTTAATATATCCTCTGATCTCTATATATGTATAATATGTAAACCAGCTCAAAGTATCTATATAAATGAACTTTATTTTTGCATATAAGTACAACCCCCTTTTGACTTTTTTGTGTTCTGATTACATATTACTCACAGTTCTGTAGTTTTAACCAGAACAAAAGGATTGCCCAGAAGAAAAGAAGGTAAGTTATTTCATAAGTTGGGTTGGAAATTCAGAAGTTCTTTTTCCATTACCAGCATTGTGTTCTTAAAAAAAAATAAGACAGACTCTTACTTTTTCATTTATGAGTATTCCCATAAGAGCTAGCAGAAGTCGGGGTAGGGAGGAAATCCACCATAGATACACAGCTAGACCCTATTATTAGAGGCAATTGGTTGCATCCTATAGAAAATATAGTTTGCTCTTGAAGATGGAATAGGCTTAATGTTAAAAAAACAACAAGATATTATACATACCAAAAAATATATTTATAAAACAAAGATTTTAAATTTTTAATTATACCCCTAAGCTGGCTTTCTAGTTTTTGTAGGATATCAAGGCATAAAAAAAAGAAAGAAAGAAAGAAGAAAGAAAGAAAGAAAGAAAAGAAAGAAAGAAAGAAAGAAAGAAAGAAAGAAAGAAAGAAAGAAAGAAGGAAACAGATATTTACTGAGATTAGTGTTGGGAACATCACATAGAAATATGTGTGGTGATGTTACTGGAAATGAGTATTTTTGTAAAGTAAACAAGTAGAATGTCTGAGCTTTAAAAAGCCTGCCATACTGCCTTAAGGTTAAAAATGCAAGTCTAGATATATCTAAGAAATTGTAATTTCTTTAACTTTTTTAGTTCTAAGCATTTTCTGATGCAAATATTTAAAAGATGGCTGTGTCTTCAGTTAAAAATGAACATTTTGATGAAGTAGTACTACTTAGGTTGTTTTCACTGTCTATAATTAAATGCTACTTGCTACTTATTCAGGGCATACGTTTCAGTCCCAAATCACTGAGGACACATCTAAGTGACATAACATTTTTTTAAATTAAACAACAATTTTGTGGCAGTTTTCAAGTTTATTTTAATTTGTGTTTTAGGGCCTTCAAACTTAGTTAAATAGCACCAAGATCTTGTCTCTATGATTGTCATAATTTAAATAATAATATGGAGCATGATAATATAATGAATACAGACTTAGGGAAAAATTACATTCCCTTAGCCAAAATGTGGGGGAAATCAGAACAAATGAGGATGAACATGATTATTTTTCCTGGTACTTTCATAGACTAATCTATAAAAGTTGGGTTTGATATATCTTGTCTTAATGGTATATGAAGAAACCCATGGCTGACATCAAAGTTTGTAGGTGTATGGTATGTGTATTTTTAATAAAGATATCTATGATCCAACATTGCAGAGATAATTAGGCTTCACGTAAAACTACCTCTTCTAGAATCTTCAGGGACAAGGAAATGCAGCTGTGTATCACCTGCCCTTTCTACAGATAGTGCCAAAGGATCTAACTCAATGCAAATTCAAATCAGAATGCACAAAAATACAGTATTCGCAATCTGCTATTTATATTGCCAGATAAATTTTATATGCACAACAATATTTGTCCATTGTTAGTTTTTATGTTGCACAATTATACTAAATTTTGAATGGCATCTTTAACAAAAGAAGCCTAGAAACATCCTTTGGCGAATAAAGGAAAAAGTCATCACATACCGTTGAGAAAACATTTTCAGAGCTATTGTAGGGATTGATGAAAGACACATTGAAAGATGTTTATGGCTCAAGAATATATTTCATTTAGAAGCTGGGCTGTGCTTTAGTATTTTATCAACTTCATAAAATACTTGATTGATAGTGTTTCAATTATAAAGGAAATTTAGAAAGAAGAAATGTAAGTGAAAATCTTGTTAGGAGCAGTAATTATATAGATAGCGAAGTGACTGCTTATTTTTTCAAGATGAAGTTTCATTTTAAGTAAATAACATTTTCAGGGAAAGAAGCTGATTAACAAAACTGAACATTCACACAAGGTAGTGCAAAAATTGAATCCCCCCATAAAAAGGGATTCAGTGCTGGTCTACAATAATTAGCCATATTTCTCCACTAAAAAGAGGTCTCTTCAGATCTTGATGGCTAGTGTGGATGTGGACATTTTGAGTGTAAGAAAAGGGAATTTGATTCATGTTCCATAGTTACATGGCCATGATGGAAGGCTTTAATTTCTCCAATGGGTATCATGGAACTTGTATTGACTAAATAGTACTTAATTTTTCTCTCGGCCAGGGTTCCTCAGCAGAGGCACGTGATATTTTGGACCAGATAATTCTTCGGCATAGGAGATTGTACATTGTAGCATTGTATGTTGTAACACTTTTATTTTTTTTAAATTTTTTTAAGATTTTTATTTATTTGCGAGAGAGAGAATGAGAGAGAGCATGAGAGGGAGGAGGGTCAGAGGGAGAAGCAGACTCCCCGCCAAGCAGGGAGCCTGATGCGGGACTCGATTCTGGAACTCCAGGAAGATGACCTGAGCCGAAAAGCGTTGTAACACTTTTAATCAGCATCCCTGGCCTCTACTCACCAGATGTCAGTAGCATGCCTCTCTTACCACATTGATATTATCAGACATTGCCTTTGGTTGAGAGCCACATGTCTAGATATTTTTCATTTCTTCTCTTATCTCAATTGAAAATGAGTTTTGTTGGCTTTTTGCATTATCTTTAACAGACATTTTCTATAAAGTACTCTTATGTACTAAGTGAAGAAGTGGTTTATAATGCGAATATTTCAGCAGGATACAAACAATTGGAATCTCAATGGTACATTCATTACCTGAAACATTAAATATTGTATTAAAAATACACAAATTATAAAAAAAAATACACAAATTATAAGGGATATTGAATGTGAGCTCATACTTTGTGCCATACCTGAAAACTTGCAATGTAAGCCAGGGAAATTAATGCAAAATATGTTTGCCTCTGATTGGACATGAAAACTTTTTTCTTGTGTATTATAGTTAAATATAGCAATACATTTTCAAAGGTAACTTTCTGCAGCAGAGAACAAACTAAGACGCTACCAGATAATTCTTCATGGAGCTGATTATAGCAGGATAGTGGCCCTCATTGTGCTTTCCATAAATGTTGGCTTTCTCCGTGTACTAAAGCACAGTTTCCTTGGAATGGCACACAAAAGACTGAAAACAAAAGAAAAAAGTCTGCAGAGAACTGGGGAAATCATCATCAAAATGGGCTGATAACCATGTATTTAAAATGCAGATTATCAGCGATTTTTTTAACTAACAACGAGATAGTAGAGAATTATTAATTTGATATGTCTTTGGGACTTGAGAGTTGTTTTTTTTTTGATGGAAATATATTGATAAGAAAGGAAAAAAAATAAGCTACATGGAAGTCTAAGAAGCAAGCCATCAAAAGAGAAGTATGCAGAAAGCAAGGAATCCTAAGTTTTAGACAATTGGAAAAAAAATATGTTGATAGTATTGATCTATTGGTCTTCTAAAAACTGTGAAAGTCATTAAGCCAATAAGTTTTAGCCTGGTTTAGCTTTAACAAAAAAGCTGTATGAATGATTTCAATATACTAAATGATGTTTTATTTAGCTTTTGTATACAATTATAAATATATTATGAATGTGTTTGGCTTCCCTAGTGAGCACCTGGGAAGACTGAGCTGATTTGCCCTTCCTTCTTGATGGCATTCATGTACTTTTTCCAAAGCTCTTTAAGATCGTCTACTTAAAGACCCTCTACTAATGATATGGAGGCATTAAAATTTAAATATAACCAATATTTATTTTTTATTATATTTTTCAGACTTGAGATTAAAAAAAAAATCTCTGGATCCATGAAAGATAAAATAACAGGTTTGCCTTTTAAAGACCTTGAGTTGTACACTAAGAATAGATATGGGCTGAGTTCCTTTCTAGCATGAATTGGATTATCACTGAACATATAACCATGAATCTATAATGCCAAGAGTTAGACATAAAACTTGGAAAGCTTATAGTTCCAACTTGTAGTAATGAAATTATAAGATAGAGTTATGCTTATAGCTTTTTCTTTCTTTACGAAGAACTCAGAGTAACAGTGCTTTTTTTTTTTTTTAATCAACAGTGAAGTCTTTCCCTGGTAACATATAAACAGAAAAGTGGATATAAGGACTTATCATTGTTACTGAATTTTTAAAAGTAACAAAGCATTTTTATGGAAAATATGTAGAAATTGAAAATACAATTTCCTTTACCAATGCACTGTCAGTATTTCTTGCAACTTAATTACTAAAGGATGACTTTGATTATCACACATTTTCTAGGTCAAAATTTCCCAAACTTCTGCCATATCAGAATTACTTGGAAGGCATGTTAAAATATAGATGGCTGGGTTTCAAGCCCAGGGTTTCTGATTCAATAGGCAAGGCCTGAGAGCTGCATTTCTTGCAAGTGCTCAGGTAATCCAGGCCCAGAAAGGCCCATGGCTCTAGACACATGTTTAATTTCTGATCTAGCTTCTTAGTGTGCTTAGTAACTTTCTCTTTATTGAAAATGGGAAAGGCTGCTTAAAGGAGTTGTATAAATTTCAGTTTACTCATCTGCAGTAGACCAAATCAGCTTTGTCACTGGGAAGAATGACTTATGACAGTGGATGTTTTTAATAAAAGATTCTTCACACAGCATTGAAAGACAGGAAACCTTAAAAGGAAAAGAAAACTGATAAAACTATGCCCAAACAGGGATTTAAATTGCTAAAAACCTTTTAAAAAAAATGCTGCCTGCTTGCAAAGTAAAAGTTCATTTTCCCACACTAGAAAACACTTAGTTATCAATATTTTGTTCATATTTTTTCCTTAGTCATCTTTTTTCCACTTGCCAGAAAAGAATTAATCATTCTCACCACTCACTGTCCTGCCTCCCAAAGTATACAATTGCTCTTGCCCTCATATATTTTAACAGCTTAAAAATGTACAGCACAACCCTACTAATTCAAGACTTTTATTTAAACTTTGGCAATGTCCTATTAAATTTAAGGTGTCATTAAACTACAGGACATCTCTTATATTGGATAAATTATTCAGGATTCAAAACAATCTTTTCAAAGGTATGCAGGGCTATCACCTACAGTTATATAGGCTGTGCACTGCACAACTTCAGGAGGCACCATTGATCTAGACGATGATGTAAATGGCACTCTCTGGAATTGTGCAATCAGGTGTTCCTTAGTCAGAAATAATAGGCCAGGTTTAATAAGACAGCCATAAAGTTCTTGTCTTAACTCCAAAATTCTTGGAGAATGAAGGAGACATGGCAGAAGAATGGCACATGTGATTTATGTCTGATTTAGTAGACTGCTGTTAGCTCAATGTGAGTCAATAATAATCTACACCTGCCCACAAAAACCGTGAAAAGCTTAGTGTTTCAGTGGGTTGGGTTTCTGGTGTGAGGGAAATGAGAAGTCTCTTAGCTTCATAGTTGGTAGAATGAATCCAGAGTTGACCACTTCTCAGAAACTATTTTCAATCCTGCCTTGTTTGTAGGTAAACCGAGGCACCAACTGCTAATGTTCATTTACAAAGAGCACTAAACAGATGTTCCACACTCAGCATAATAACTGAGAACCTTAGACAGAAACGCAAGAAATTGTTGAATTTTTTTCAGTTAACTTCAGTGACCCGTGAACAAATATGTACTGGTTTTGCCAGTGAGGTATGCCAAAATAGCACCTTGATTCTGGCTTTGGAATAAAAGTTCATGGAGTTTTTTGATGACTTCTAGCCTTTGACAACACAGCAGGGGAAGCTGAGAAAGGAGTTATTTTTAGCTGAATCCTGGAAAATCATCATCCAGTTTCCTCTGCTCAGTCACTAATAATCACAGACAGCCTTAAATAGAGTTGTTGATTAATTAATCTGTGTCCAAACATTTTATTTTTTTCTTAATGCTATCGTTCAGGAACACTTGCAGTTAAACCTTGTCGTCTGGTTCTTCTCCTTAGAAGATCGTTAGCTGATAATGCCTATTAACACTTTACAGACGCTTTATAAAACCAGCAATATAATGCTTTGAGAGCGCCCACTCTTTATTTCCCACCCATTTTAATAATTCTGGCCCATCCTTTTCCACAGAAGCAAATGTACAAATGTGGAGACACTTCCGCATGAAGACCGAGTTCATAATGTGCATATCCAAAGCATCGACATTGATGCCGTATCCATGGTTCTCAAAGGGGAGGGTAATCTGTGGTAACAAAATTGTATCCCTTCCTTCCTGCAATTACCTCACTATCCTTATAGCCTTGACATCTGGAAACCGACTGATACAGTAGCAGCTGTGATTCCTGTTCTACAGCAGGAAGTTGACTACACATTCCAAAGTGCCCTCATTGTTTTGATATTTTCTGGCTGCTTCAGGAGCTTGGATAGAGGAGAACACACTCTTTTGTACCAACCGCAGTTTGGAACCATACAACAAAGTGTATCTTGTCACAATCTGAACCACTTATACGTATGGGAGTTTCTTTTTCTTCATGACAGATGACTGTTCATTGTGGTCATAGTCCAAAGTTAGCCATGTTAGACATTGTACACTTTATTAGAGAATTAAACCTGATTTTGTTCATAATCGCACTATTTTCCATAGTTTATTTGGTGGTTTAACCTCTGCCATAATTTTCTCAAGTAATCAGCGTGGAAGAAGTCTTATCCAAAGACATGCTTCTATCTAAATACTTGGAAGATAATTGCTTAATTTAAGTTAGAAATTGTATTAGTATTAGAATAGCATTACAGTATTAGAATAGTATTGTGAGAATCATTTAGCCTTGCATTTGCTCACATAGGGCCTCACTTAACAGACATTTTCAGATCCTTATCAATCTGCCAGAAGTCAAGAGATCTCCAAAAGTAGTGCAGAATTATTAGTATTGGGCAAACGCAATTGTATTTTATCTTCACTAAACGTCTGAAACTATTTTGTGTTTTTGAGCCAGTAAAATTATAATATTGTTTATTCAGAATGCTTTTATTCCTTAAAAAGAATCAAAAGAAGTAACTACTGTGTTGATTTACTGTTAATTTATCTTTAAAATGGCTACAAATAATAGTTTTCTTCATTATAAGAGCATTAGTGCTTTTTTACTCATCAAATTAAGAATGAAATGGATTTTAGTAATACCCTACAATTACCTTATTAATCAAAATTATTACCAGTTATCTCCATGAAGCTAAACTGGTTTGCTGCAGAACAGGTTGAGGACTGCTGTGATTCAGAGCATAACTCTGCAAGAATATATTGATATGATTTTTATTTAATTTACAAATTTTACTAAAGTTTTCCTCTTTCCTATATTTCCCCCAAGATATAACAATATCCCCCATTGTATATTTTTATTTGCCTTAAATCTCCAATTTAATTTAGTTTTTCTTTTTTGCTTAATTATTTCTTTTTTTTTTAAAGATTTTATTTATTTATTTATTCATGAAAGACAGAGAGAGAGAGAGAGAGAGAGGCAGAGGGAGAAGCAGGCTCCCAAGGAGCAGGGACCCCTATGTGGGACTTGATCCCAGGACCCTGGGATCATGACCTGAGCTGAAGGCAGATGCTTAACCATCTGAGCCACCCAGGCGCCCCTTTGCTTAATTATTTCATCTGGAATTTTATACTCATAAGTGATGAAATCTCAGTCTCTCTTTAATAATTGAATAGTTGATTTAAAATAATTATGTCTTCTATTCTAGTGACTATAATCTCTGATATTCCCTTCTGGCTAGAAATATTTTTATGCTGGATTTATAATAAATTTCCTGTGATACTGATTCCGTGTATGCTTAAGCATTTGTCAGTTTTATCCAACTGTTCCTGTGATAACCAGAAGTTATTGTGCCTTCTCCTAGTATTTTAATACTCTAGTGTATATGGAGTGTTTAAGTAACCATAAAAGCAATATTTGTTTGCATAGTTATTGGTTTGTTTACCTTCACTGCTCCAGAAAATCTTGCTGGGCAATCTGCCTAGGGCTGATACTTATAACCATTAGCAATTATGGATTCCAGAAAGTTGTTGACATGATTTTTTTAAAAAACCATTTCAAAATCAGATACAAAATATACAGTGTATTCCTAGGGTAGTTTTTTGTAGCCATTCCTGCTCTTTCCTTTCTTGTTTATCTTAGCTATAATTCACTTTTCATCAAGGTGCATTGAGTAATAGGAAATTCTGTATCAACTTTGGGTTCTTCCTAGACATTCATAGGCAGATGCGTTATTTTCAAAATTAATAAAGCAGAATTATTTTTATATGATGGTATTTTTACACATCATTTGTGTTTTGCAGGGGTTTGGGTAATATGCCAGTGATGTACTTTTCATTGTCAAGGAATCCATCAACACAAAAGAGGCACGGGTGCAGCATCGAGCAGGTGGGGACTTCTGTCATCTGACATACGTATTGAGCTCTGGGGGAGAGAACAAGAAGAATGCATAGGACACTGCTCTCAGGGAGGTTACACTTTAGAGTCTGTACTAATACTTGCCACCGATGGGCAACAACAAAAGCTAGGCAAAGACTTTTTAACAGAAACCTCTCCATTCATCCCCTCACTGGGACAGGCAACAAAAGAAGCCTCCGTTTCTGAAATATTTAGAAGAACAGCATTAATGAAGAGTTCAGTTACAAGCTTTGGTTGTGATTTTGTTTGCTTGTTGATGGGTGTTTTGCAGAAAAGCCTGATGCGCTTGAATTGTCCTTTGAGCATGATCTGCTCTAGAAATAGTGCTGAATAAGCTTTTTCCTTTTTCTTTCATTTTTTAAATAACTTAATTTTCTAAAAAAAAACCTGTCAGTCAGAAAGTTGACTTTTAGAATTTTGTTATGTCATGATAGAACAAAATGTATCAAGGAAGAAAAAAATAAATACTATTTGTGCATATGACGTTTCACCTTTAAACTATTTCCAACCTGACTTCAGTAATTTATTATCAAGATTTTAGCAGTTTATTGTCAAGAGAGTAAAATTTGACAGAATAAAAATAATGATTTTTGGCCTTTAAATATGCTACTTAGTCATCCCCAAAGTTTCACCTAGAAAAGAAACCGGAAATAGTTCCTAAGCATAAGAATAGAGAATAGAAATAAATGATATTTATTTAATATTAGATTCAATCTTGGCAAAAAATATTCTTAACTTGGGATCTATTTTTTAAAATTGTCTCTCATTTTTTAAAGTTAAAAGTGTCAAAATGTAAATGCTTAAGACCTAAAGTTTACTGGATTCTGGAAACTCTCACTGGCATACTGTGGACTAAACACAATATTTGTTTTTGACATAAATTTACAATGAGCTACCAAGACTATGTGCAAATCACAATGAGTGATTCCTTTTGTCAGATTTTCCAAAGAACAAGACATAATGAATCTATTATGAACATCTCCCAGATCATATTTTCCCTTAAAATGTAACATACACATTTAGAATTTAAAGCTAAAAACTTGTTAACATATCACAAGTTTTCAGTAATTAAGAGACTTGGTCAGGAGAGAATTCAGTGTGATTTTGCAATTGGGGTTGCAGCATAAATTTTATTACAGATTGTTAGCTAGTGTGGTTCCTCACGAAGGTCAAATGTATGTTTATGTTCTGTGAGTCTTCTAAGCAAAGTATGTCCTTACTCTTTAAGAAATACCTAGAGAAGAAGAGAAGAAAACAACAGTGTTCTTAATTCCTAAGATACAAATGCCACTAAACTATACACATCAAGATATTTGGAATTAGAGTCTGGTCACTTTAAACCCAGATGTGTGTATTTTGAGCACATTTTTTTGAGCACTACATAGTCATAAAGTAACCTAAAATAACAATGAAAGAAAACTAAGCTCTGCTGATAAAATACACTTTACTTTTTATGTGGTGTTAACAAAATGACTTAGATGGAAAATGAAATCTGTCTTAGTTTAAGACAGAAGCACAAAGACATTTCCCTTCTGGACAACAGACTTTGGCATTGAAAGATCAAAGGAACAATTTTATCTGCATTGTGACTACAGACCAAAAAATTTTACAGTATTCCTGTCTCCATGCTAGAGCTTATGTGTCTTTAATGGCATTTAAATTATAGCCCTTCTGCAGTCAAGCAGTCAAAACACCACGTCATCTGATGAGACACCATATTATAATCTGTCAGTATGTCTCATTTAAAAATTCTCCTATACTGTACTTGCCCTCATTTTTCACTTCTGCAAGAAAAATGGAGCAAATTGTTTTTTAAACTGGGTTTACAAGTTGACCTAATCAAGCTAGACAAAAGACATACTTTGGTTTATATTATTTTAACTTAATTAATTTAAAGCAATTTGTAGTTTTTTTTTCCTTTTTATTGTGATAACCCCTCTCCGCATTTTTTGCTTGTTTGTCTTTGGGGTTTTAATCTTTCTTACATATGAAATGATATATGGTTTATTATAGACAAATATTAAATGAAAATCAAGAATGTGTGTCCATTAGAGAATAATAGCTAAAATATTTTGTTCTTAAAGCAAAGTATTTTATATTAAGCTAATAATATAATAGAGGGATTATTATATATAAATGGAAGGAGCTGTTTTCTGAATTTTTGTGTATCACACAATATAGATGGTGTTTCAAATGTCACTGGAGAAACAAGTTTCAAATGTGTTCCTTTAAAATAATGTTTATTGTAGTGATTTAGCAATCAAAACTTTCTGAAAATGAGTATTTCGCTTAGAATGTTCCTGCAGATAGGAAAATAAGATGTTACATTTTCTACAGAAACAGTGAGTTTTTTTCTCAAATATGTAAAAATTTTAAGAATTTTATTAAAAAGATATCAGCAAGAATATGTAATCAATTATCTTATACCTTAATACTATCTAATATTACATCTATTTATAAGTGGTTATAAGAGATATTTAAAAAAGTAAAATTTATTTTGTCTAGAAACATGTTAGATTAGTAACTGATAGATAACTTTGTTTCCATGTTTCAAAAATATAACGTGGGAATTCATGGATTTTCAAGTAGATTCACCTAAGTTTTTAAAATAATATTTTTAAATCATATTAAGGTTGGGATACAAGATGCTTGTTGACAATAAGTGATTTTAATGTGCCCATGGGAGGCATTTATTTTTTTTAAATGAAAGTGACACTACCTTAGATAAGCTTCAGCTGAAAATATTTCTTTTATATTATGTACATCTGCTTTGGAAAGAGCCAACCATTACAAGTAAATCGATTCTCAAATTTTCAAACAATTTTGAACAACTTTTATCGCTAATAATTTTGTGTAGAAAATCACAGACGAGTATGCTGCGTGCTACATATTGAGTAGGAATGATGGGAATCACCAGACATACAGTAGGTTTGAGGAGTTAGGCCTAGAAATGCCAGGGTCCTTCAATGTATTTTACTTACCTGAGGAAATGCAGAAGATATTTACTGAGCTTGGGACAATTTAATATATCACTTTTTCATGGAATCAGGATTGGATGTCTCCATACTTAGTTGATATTTGACAAGAAATCATGACAAGTATTTTATTTTCAGAATTTGATGTAGCTAAATGGGGCCTTATAGTGCAATATTCTGATTTAAAATATGTATTTTTTTTCCTTAGGTAGCAAAAAAAACTAGTGATTTTTAGGGATGAAACAATAGAGTAGAATAAAAAAATTTCCATGTATGGAAAATAGTTGATCTTATATCCCCACTCTCTTCTATCCTAAAACCCAAGATATATCTTAGAATTATTTCTGGGAGTCTATTATTTGATAAATACAAAAAATTATATGCAATACAATGAAAACTTATAAATCCATTACCCAGTTTAAGAACTAGAACAGTATTGAAAGTGTTTCTTCTTCCCTCTCCCTTCTTCCCCAGAAGCTACAGTTATCAAGGCCATTACATACAAAGTTGTGCAAAGTGTGTACTTAACAAATGTACAAGATGTGCACTTTCATATCCAGCTGGGCCTGATATGAATGATGCCCTTTGAAGTGTGCAGTGTAACCTACACAGATTCTCACAATGGCTCTGCCACTTTCGAGACTTGTTTTGGGATTATCTTTTTATGTATGTATGATAATTTTGCTTGTTTAAAGCTTTGCAAAAATGACATTTTCTAATAGCCTTACTAGTACTGGCTTTTTTCACTAAATATTATGTTGCTAAGGGTCATGGACATTGTTGCCTATAATTATATGTTTGTTTACTTCACCGCTATATAGTATTCAATTGTGCAAATACCCTCAATTTCTTTTTCTCTTCTCTTCTTTGACATTTGAGTTATTGCCTGCTTTGCAGTTAAACATGCTGTTGCTATAAATATCCTTGCATATGTCCTTTGGTGCACATGGGCAAGAAATGTTCTAATGGACTAGAATAAGAATTTTGGAATCTTAAAGCTTATGGATGGAGTAAGGATGTACATGAAAAGTAAAAATTTAAAAGCTCTGATGAGGGTATATAAAGAATATTATGATACTCGGTTACATAAGACTTTCTTTAAAAGACCCAATTATAAATACTTGCAGCATTTGTATGAGTACTATTTGTGTATAGACCTCAGTTCCATTTATAGGGAGCTATTTGGATGGCTCTATAAAATGCCTGCCTTGCTAAATCAATCAATCATTCTAGTCCAAACCCATTAGCCAGAAGAAGAAGCAAACCCAGAAGCCATTTTGGTTATCTTAACATGGATTAAATGAATTTATTTTAAACTCAGAAAATGGGGATTAAAATGAGATGATTCAGCCAAAGCAAAAATGATCAGTTTTACTCCCCTTTCCACATCCCATTCAGATTATTTTTGGAAATACTGAATACACACCCAAAACTGAAGGTTTTGATTACGATTCTGAGGCAGGAAAATGTACCAACAATTATTAGATAGGGAGATATTTTTATGATGTAAAATATATATAACCTAAACTTTAGACCATTTTTAAGTGCACAGTTCAGTGGCATCAAATACATCGAAATCATTGTGCAGCCATCACCACCGTCCATCTCCAGAACATTTTTTCATCTTCCTAAACTGAAACTCCATATCCATTAAACAGTAGGTCTGCATTCCATCCTTCTCTTCCCTGGCCCCGGCAATCATCATTCTGCCTTCTGTCTCTATGAACTTGACTACTCTAGGTACCTCAAGTGGCATCATATCATGTTTGCCCTCTTGTGATTGGCTTATTTTACTTAGCCTCTTCAAGGTTCATCAGAGTTTAACAAAACTTCCTCATCTTTTTGGGTGAATAATATTCCCTTGTATGTATACACCACATTTTGTGAATTCATTTATCTATTGATAGACAGTGGGTTGCTTCCACCTTTTAGTTATTGTCAGTAGTGTTGCAAAAAACGTGGGTGTACAAGTATCTGTTTGAGTCACTGCTTTGCCTTCTCTTTAGGTACGAAGATTTTTAAGAACTCCTATAAGTCAGCCTCCTGAGCAGCTACTCCCCTAGGTGTCAAAAGAAAACCTAAAAATATTTTAAGATTGACAGAAGGAAGGATAGAGACAATCTACATTTTATAGTTTTTTTTTTACAATGTTTCCCTTTTACTTGAATGCATTCATTTCTTTCAGGAATTACAATTAAATATTGATATAATATCCTATTTGTTATTCTCTAACTTAAATAATATGTAATTGCTTGAGAATTTTAACTTTAGACATAAAGTTTTTACTTTAAAGAACACATTTGAGAAATATAATTTTTCTCCTGCTACTTCCATTAATAATGGGTTATATTTGCATTGAATACTAATCAGCAAAATATTTTCTCCTACTTTATTAATATTTGCCAGCACTCACAATGTGATGATTACTTGATAAATGAGTATATTAGATAGATAGGTAGAAAGATATGATACATAAATAGATGATAGAGAGAAAGATAACTAGCCAGTCTGGCTCAGCTTTCTTATACCTATTTTACAGAAGGGAACTGAGATTTTGAAAGGTACAAGGCCTTCAGTTAGAAAGTGGCAGAACTCCAAATTCAAACTTGGTCTTCCTGGCACCAAAACCCATTCTAACCATTATAGATTCTGTCTTCCTTTAGCTATGCTAATCCTCACCACAACATCATGAAGTTGATTGGGAAGTTGAGAGCTATTCATTTTCTCTTGAGAAATGGAGTTCTGACAGATTCAATCATTCATTTAAGATTTCATAGCTGATAGGTGGTACAGCAAAAACTCAGGTCTTCTTTTCCATTCTTTACACTCCACCTCCACCCCATAGCTTATGCAGCCATGACTGCCATTGGTTTTTGTGGAGTTAACATATTGAATCCCAAAAGTTAAAGTCTGAACTATCTAAGCATTCCATGCTCATGGATTAGAAGTACCTTAAATATATGTAGTTTTTAAAATAAGCAAAGTGTGCAACTTGCCCTATGCCATACTTCTTTTATCAACAGAGTAAGCATCACATTTTAGATTTGAGTTTAAAAATAGTTCTCCGTCATTTGGACCTTAATCTCATTACTCTTAGGAAGAATTACTGTGAGAAATTTTCCTAAATATAAACTGAAGAGTGCATTTGTACTTTTGTAGTGTTAAAAATACTTTAAAGCTTTGATGCAAATCCTACTAGTCCTGAGCTGATGTGACAGGAATTGTGCAGGTACTTCAAAACCGAATCCTTCAAAGGGTTCCACCTAAGCTTGTCTTTATAGCTAACTGTGGATCACTAGCACTATTCAGTATCTTCCAGTGTGCTAGTTTTTAACCCATAGAAAAATTCAGTAATTATTGCTAGAACTATTAGTAACCTAGCTGTGTTTGAATTTTAGTAAATACAGATGTTATTTGTGCATTAACGTGTGAGGAAGAGGGTATCTCCTAAAGGTACTTACTCATTATTTTTTGGATTAATCCAGTTTTGTGTCAAAGAACTGTAGTTTCCACACACTCATATGCAAATGAATAAGCATAAATGTAATGAATTTACCTTTTTTTATATATAGACTAAAAAAATTCACACTCTAGTCGCTTCATCAAAGTATCTTTGCCCCTTTTATTGCGACGTATTTTCAAAAAGAAGGGGGGGAAGTGCATTGTAAATGTTAAAATACAGAACTATATGAATGAAGTGCTCTTTAAAAATCCAGACCCAAACCCTCTTTGGTTTCTATTAAGAAAACAGATATTACATCCTCTTATTACAAGTGTGTTTTTTTTCTCACCTCTCCCACTGCTGGGCTTCATTTCCACCTAGAGACATCTGTATACCAATCCCAGTAGTAATGCCCCTGCTCTAACAAGTCACAGCTCACATGGCCCTCTCTCCTGGAGAATGAATTATTAGGTAATGTTTACTTTTATCCAATTGATTTCACTTCCTCCACATTTCAATTTCTTTGGCATAATACAGAACAGAACTTAATAATGACTACTTAAAACTAAAATCAAGGAAAGGAAAAAATATTTTGTTGGTAAAAGATGGTTGGTAATAATACTAGAATATTTTCAGATGCAAACAAAGTAGAGTTCACTGGAGAAAACTAGGAACATACCTATGTTTATACTTTTAATATAGACACGACTTTAAAGATGCAAACATTCTGAAATATTTGTATAACACAATTTCGTTTCCAAAGGAGAATGGTTATTTGTCCTCATTTCTCCCCATTTAAATGAATAAACTTTGTTTTTCTTATGATGGATTAGCTAACTGAAGAGATTTTTTTTCCCCGGACAAAGTATAAATAGTTGTTTCCCAGACATCAACTTTGCAAAAAGCCTGACATTAACAGCTGATGTAGTCGTGTATGTTTGGAAGAGCTATGTTCTGATTCTCAGAAGATACCTTACCAGAGTCCATTTGTTTTAAAGTTTGTGAAGTGGCCCTTCTGTAATGATACTCTTCCTGTCACTTCCAAATATCCCTGTACTAAGGTACCTAAAAAGTGAGACACAGACTGTTTTTTAGAACTCTAAATAAATTGAAGGTAAGACATATTCTAAAATAATACATGGGGATAGATGAGTAAAAGAAGGCATTAACTAAAACAAAACAAAATAAAACAAAATAAAATAAAATAAGGATGGTAGTCAAGAAGGCAGAGAAAGGGAAGCAATATGGAGAAGTAATGGGGGGGTTCTGTGGTTGTCTCTGCTTTAGAAATATGAGGAATCTATTGGGAAGAGGAAAATAAAGTTTTAGATGGCCTATTTACTTCTAAAAAACTCATTACTTAAAGCAAGGATATTATTTTTAAAAATATGTACATGTATATTACTAAAATACAGATATATGTGACACACACACACACACACACACACACACACCCCAAAACTATCAATGCAACAATTCCTTTGTTTCTTAGAAACTACACATGAATTTCATTTTTTGAATAAAATGTACTGGTAAGCACTGTAGCAATTTCTAGAATTTGGTCACTCTTCTTTATGGTGGTAATTTGACTTGAATGTGTTAACTTGAATATTTAGATTTGAATGTGGCTGGAATTTTCTAATATGATCAAAATCCAGAGTATTTATGCGTTTTTTGCATCTGTGTTTTATATATATATATATTTTTTTTTCCTTTTGACTTATCTGTTCAGAAATGGATTTCTACTAAATTTTCTTAGGTGCACTTGACAAGCTGTTGCTGAAAAGTATTTCTTACTTTTTTATTGACTTATCCTGTAGATGCACTAATGTGCTACTGGCCATGCGAATTACATACAATTCTAGGAGACAAACACAATCTCCAGTTACAAATGAAGGGCACACATGGGTTATCCAACATGTGAGTCATCAAGAAATGCAATACTGTGCAAAGACTGGTGAATCACACAGTCTGTAAACGTGGCTTTTTGAGCTTTTGACACCAATGCCTGCTGCAAAGCATAGCAAGGAATAAGCAAGAAGAGGAGGGAGGGGAAAGGAGGGGAGGGGAAAATAAGGGGGGGGTTCTCTATAATCAGTTTTTACTGTTCCTTAGTTTCTTGACCAGTGAACCAAGGACAGAAAGGACACTTGCATTATTTTTTGTTACAGTTTGTTACAGTTTTTGTTTGTTATAAACTCTTTGTTACAGTTACCATTCTCATGTACATAGTGCCATTTGAAAATTCTAAAATTGATCATATTCAATTTAGAATTGTTCTTTAAGTTTTGTACCCTATACACTATAAAGTGACCCGAGGAGTAAGTTTTTGCGTTGTTTATTTGATGTTGTCTTCCACTCTGTGATAAGCTGCATGGGAGCAGGGACTGTAAGCCTCACAATTACAACGACCCTAGTGCAGGAAAGAAAGAAGGGAGAAAGGAGGGTCTTCTAATGTTATTTTAACATCTGTGAAATGTATTCACTTTCTAAAGCTCTGTCTCTTCCCTGTCCTCCTCGTCTTGAAACAATTCATATCAAAGAAAACATCTTAGCACAAAAAACATTAATTGTTGCTCTAGCCCATAATGTAGATATACCGCTAACCATATGAAAAACAAACAATAACCCTGGTAATTCTGTGTAGAAACTGTCCATACATTCAATTACCCATCAAGTAGGATCCAAACTCCTTACCACAGTGCTGAAAACTCTTCATACTCTAAGCTCAGAAACTGAGCATCTTCAGACATCCCCTTTGCCTCTCTCCTTACCCTATGTTCCAGCCATATTGGTCTAATATTTGTGTACTATTTCCCTGGCACATAAATTGTTATGCCCTGTTGCCATCTCCTTAAAACTCTTTCCCCTTGGAATGCCTCTGTATGTACATTTTTCTTCACAAATAATTTCTACTTGTCTGTTAGTGGACAAGAACTGCTCAAAACTTTCCAGAATATTTTCATGGACTTTGTATTTAGAGAAAAAAGAACATTAAAAAGAAAAGGATTTAGGGATTGTGCAGCCCATCCTTTCCATTTTGCAGCTGAGGAAACTGAGGCACAGAGCGAAGATACTGCCCAAAGTCACACACCAATCAGCCATAAGGCCAAGACTAACTACCCATCCCTCGCTGTTCTCTTCAGTGGTGATCATGTCTGCCTTCGATTCAGACAATTCTGGAGTTAACCTTGGGAAATGTGTTAACCTTTCTGAGTCTAAACCTAAAATTGGACATAAAAATAGGTAATCTAGAATAGTTTCTTTCTTTCCTTCCTTCTTTTCATAGTCTTTTGTGATTCCCAGTTTAGCCATTTAATCTGCATACCATATAAACTTTCTTACTTTCAGAAAGAACTGGGCTATAGCAGCAGAAAATAGTAGTTAGCACATAGACTACGGGGTTAGATTTTTTTGGTTCAAATCTTAATCTACCTGGGTGCTTTGGGCAGGGCACTTAACTGCTGTGCCTCAATTTTCTCATTGGTAAACTGAGAATAATTAACTTACTGAATTCATTCACACATGCTTAGTCAGAGCTTTCTGTTCTAGGCTTTGAGGATTTGGCAGTGAACCACACAGATAGAAGCGCTAATGGAGGTTCCATTCCAGGGGAGAGATAATCAACTGATAAATTATACCTGCCCTCCCCTCCCTCCAACCCACAGTAAGTGCTCTTTCCTCTGCCTGGGAGTTGCCTTCCTGCAGCTGTCTAAAGGGTTAGCTTCTTCCCAGGATTCAGGTTCTTATAATCACCTTCACTGGGCACCTACTTTAAATTTCAATCCCACCCTTGTCACAGTTCAATTCCGTTTTCTGCTCTATTTCTAAAAATAATGATTCCTTTTTACTGTCTAACACACCATATATTTTTATTAGTTTGTCTAGTTTATCTTGCATCTTCCTTACTCAAATGTAAACCCCATGAGGGCAAGGATGTTTGTCTGTTTTGTTCTCTGCTGTATCTGAAGAACCTAGGCCCGCTTCAGTATGGGCCTAGTGTGGGCCTGGTATCTATTAGGGATTCCTTATCTATTTATTAAGTGACTGCATTAATATCTAGTGTAATGCCCTGTGGTGATATTTGCAATTAAGTAAAATAAAACAGAATTAAGTGTGTAGAGAGAAAGATCTGGGCACTATTTTAGATAAAGTGGTGAGGGTAGGCCTTACTAAGAGGGTGACCTTTGACTAGAGACACGAATGAAGTGAGAAAAATAAGCCATGGGGATAACTGATGGTTGAACGTTTTAGATAGCAGGAACAGCAAAGGTCCTGAGGCTAATTCATATTTGACATGCTCTATTAATGGCAAGGAGACACAAGTGACTAGGGCAGAGTGAGTGAGAAGAGAGGTAAGAGACAAAGTGAGAGAAACCATTCAGACCATTCGTGTATACCATTGTGAGGACTATGGATTTGATAATAAGAGAGCCAACCAAATTGAGGTATAGAGAGATGTTGAGAGAGCTGAAGCCAAGTATCTTTGGTACAAGTTAGTTACTGTATACCAGGGACTGAGTCCCACTTGTAAGTGACAAATGAAGGCAATGAAAAGAACAAATAAATGAACACCAAATTTCCTTCCCAATTTCTACCCTTTATAACAACAACAACAAAATGCACAGAAGGCAACTTAGGATAGAAAGGGACATGTGGAAATTCACAAGTTACACTGAAAAAAAATATACATAAAGACTGGGTATATATATATATATATATATATATATATATGATGGGTTATAATCTTATTTTTAAAAAGGCATATCACATGTAGCAGTCACACTCATAGAACCTGAAACACTGTAGTCCTAGTTTGTGTTATGGATTTTTCTGCGCTTACTTTTACTCTTATAATACACAGCTGTATTTTATCAAATAATCAGTTAATGAAATGACAATAGTTTCCTGTCACAGAATTTGTTTATTCCAAACTGCTGTTTGATCTCACAAACACACCAAGACATTACCAGCCAGACCATTTAACCTCTTTAAAATATTCCCCCTGGAGGAAATGAGTTTTTACTATTGATAACGTCAATCCAAATTCTGTATATGTTTATATTTATCCTAAAACAAAAAAGTACATGGTAACATTAAGATTGTGCTTTACTCTATACCTTATTGATCAAGATTTTGTATTAATTATTTTCTACCTGCAGCACAGCTTCTGGAATCTTCGATAAATATGGCGGCATTTCTGAAGAGAAAAATTTCAAATCACCTAGTAATTAATTCATTGTCAAGGTGGCAATAGATTCAGTGTAATACCGAAGCCTGTTCTTTCAGCCTCACCAGAGAAAAAGGGAACTGCTTTCTTAAAAGACTCAAAATAGGAGTCTTTGAGGGTTTTTAAAATGAAGGGTCATGCTTATACTTCTTTATTTAGTCCAATTCTTGTGTAATAGTGAGCATCTAATTCATTTAGCAGATTTTATTTGTCAAGCTAAAAAAGCATATGCTATATTTAGTTCCAGCAAGAATTGTAGAAATCAGTAGAAAAAATTCACATAGAGTTAGTAGAACATGCAGGCTTTTAATTATTTTACTTGTCCAAAGGGCACAGCAATTGGGCAGACTGCCTACTATACATTATAAATTAATTCCATTTGTCCTGAAAACTCATTCATTATTTCAGTACTTTGAATTTTGGCTGCCCTAATTAATCTCTGTTTTATAACTCAGGCACTTGAACCTCTGCAAAGGCTGCATTTTTCCAGCCTATAATCACACTCTCAACAGACAGCCAAGTGCTGGGGACAATGGCTCCTTCACCCTCTCAGCTATACCTCGGCTTCCGTGGAGACAAACTTTCTGTCTCTGATTTATGTGCTGAGTCCTCCTTGAGAGAAATGCTTGGGTAGAGAAATGCACATCCCTAAGGCAGATTACTTGCCTCAGTCTGTGGCCCTATTACCCGAATTCTGTCACTTGAGCACTGGTAGAGAGCCAAAAGCACCTTGGAATACTCCCTAGAAGATAGGAACCCACCTTGCAATCAGCCTTTGCAGGTTACATCTGCTTTCTTTTAAATCCATGCACTGTGAAGTGTGTTGTACTCCGGGGTCTTGATGCTGCACTTCCTCACCATGGCAGAGGGGCCTGGAGCAAAGGGATACTGGTAGGCGCATGCTGCCAACTCAGGCCTTGGCAGCATAAAGGGTCAGCAGTTACCATCTTGCACTTCACTCTCACAGTTCTCTTGCTACATGACTGCTCTTTTGAAATGAATAGAAAACTATTTTTAACTTCAGTTATTGTTCATTTAGAATGAAAAAAAAATGTGCTTTATCTGACCTTTTCTGATTATTTTCCTTTTACTTCATATAATGATGCAGAGAAAGTCCTTACAATGAATTCTGTGTTCAAACAAACAAACAAACAAACCCCAATTTACTTGTCAGCTAGTTCTTCATTTATTTCTGGAAAATCTACTCCCTAAATCTTATCAAGGAATCATAGAAGAAAGCTAGCACATTGTTTTGCTTATTGATTCTTCTGGTAATTGTAAAGGTAAGAATGGGGCCATGACTCCATCACAGATAAGGACAGGGGTCCAGGATGGCTCCTGATGCCTGACTTTATAGGAGATTGCAGACCTCTGAAACGAGCTTTGTTCCTGCTCAGACAAGGCTTCAGAAGATTTGTTTTTTCCCATGTGTATGGACTTCCCACTTATCACTTTCTATTTTTCTATATCTTTAGAGTAGTTTTATATTTTAAGAATCCAATTATCTATATTTTGGTGTGTTTAGATTGGGTTGGGAGTAAAAGGCAAGAGACAAAGCCATAAATAGCAAAATTCAAACTAGTGTAATAATTAGCCCATAACCTAAATGTCTATATTAATAATACAGGTTGGTAAATGTCTCTCATAATGTATTTTTAAATTATTTCTCACATAGATCAAGAAGAACTTAAGCTTTATAGTATTTTTTTGGAAAGTCAATTCAATAACAGGAAAATATACTGAGAAAATTCTATTTTAAGGTCCAATGTATAATTCTGCAGGTAATGTATTCTTTCATTCACAAGTTACACTTTACCCTTCTTCATTTCAAATATTGAAAAATAAGGTGGCTATTGAAGAAGAAGAAGAAGAAGAAGAAGAAGAAGAAGAAGAAGAAGAAGAAGAAGT